TAAATAAAGTTTTTTGCTGTCAATTTGTATTTTTCTGGCATAATTAAAGTAAGAGATCAATAAAACTAATTTCCAAATTCAAAAACATAAAACCTGTACGCAAATGTACACGTAAATTATTGCTTTAAAAAGTGCCACTTAACAACTTACGTTTTTCACGTTGCTAGAGCGAAACTGTAAATTTCAGATGCACTAAAACACTTCACTCGTGTACCATTTTTATCTATTCATGATAAAATAATGCAAATATTTATTTTCGATTTTTGTTTAATTACCTATACTTGTGTAACATTTAATTTCAACCCACCGCCTACAACAAATGCCAAACGGCAACGATATTGCTGAACGAAAACCGCCTTGCAAAGTTATTCTTTCTTCTTTTTCAAGCACTGGATACATAACTTTTAGCTAAGACATGAAGTAACAACCTTTTCACAAATATTTAAATACAATAACACTGTTTAAATAAACAAAACTATTACGGCAATATAAAAATACCCAACATTAATAAATAGAAAAACACGAAATTGGGTTTAACTTTTTACTTTTTAACTTTTAGGGCTACTCGTGATTAGTAGCCTGATTAAATTCGACGAGTGTGTCCAGTTACTGTATTATTAGCTCACGTACATTTGTCAGGCGTCTTAGGTTGTTAATCTCATAATAATGATTACTATATAGGTATTGTTGCCTAAGTAGATATCCGGTGTATACGTACATAAAATATGATTTACTAAATTGGAAGAGAGTTGTACCTTGTCTGACATTCTTCTAGTGTATGGTATGGTATGGTATGATATTGTTTAAGACAGTCTATTGGAAAGGTTGGAATAAACCACCACCTCTTGAATGAACGAGGTCATGATGGCTGAACAAGTCAAGAGCCTTTTGATAGAGATAGTGGTGAGAAGGAAAATCTAGATAGTAGGATATCGACGTTGGCCAAGGGTAGTAGGTATCTGTTAGGTAATACTTGAACTTCTCTTGAAAACTAGCATTGAAACGAGAACGTTCTTTGGGGCTGCTGGCAAAGCACCAGTTCGTTTTAAACACTGTTGTATAGTTGCTCATCACACCGAGACAGTTGCTGCAGATGTACCAAGCATTAGTCCGATCGTGTATGGAGTATACAGCTACCACCCATGGCGCGTGGTTCTTATAAATACCAACAGGCCACCTTAGAATCAGTAGAAAAGTATACCTACCAAGAGGTTTATAATTGACTCGGAATTAGTAGAACCTTAAGCACCGCCGTAAAATTGCCTGCTCATCGGTGTTCTACAGGATAAATCAAGGAGAGTGCGCGATGGACTTGCATGATTTAATTCCGTCTTCGCCTTCCCACCACACCGGCGGATTAGACGTAGATTCCACCACTACGTTGTGCATGTTTCTACATTTCGGACGAAGCTTTTCGCTGTCATATTTATATGGCGAACGGCTATGGAGTGTAATTCGCTGTCTACAGAGTTATTCCATCGTCGATCAATTTCCATCAGGTGAGATGAAGGTCAAATGCGCACTTATCTCAAATCTATGGAATGCTAAATGAGTAAGTCACAGCTCAGTTATTGTTATTGAAAAGTTACCTATACGACATCAGTTCAATCTTACAATACTAAATGACAAACTAATTGAAAACGCCTGTCGATACTTAATATTAGGTACCACCTTGTGTGGCATCCAACTGTGTATATTTAATATGGTTTCTTATCTTTCAACAATAATATTTAGTATTTGTGCGGAAAAGTTCATGATCTTTTGTTAATAGTTTTGTTTACAATTCATAGAACAAACTAACTGTTTTCCGCTAATTCGTCTACTGAATTATTTTAATACCCTAAGTTAAAACCTCAACAAATTAGAAGAAAAATAGAAAAAGATTGCATTTAATCGACTGGTTAGTTGAGTAAATGCAATCTTTTTCTATTTTATGAAACCAAGTAACGGGACGAACAAGTCGTGCGCCTGTCCATAAATTACAGTGCCGCAAAATTCTGAGGGGCACTGCCGCTGCACCCGTCAACCTGAGACATAAGCTGACAAGTCCCAAGTGTCTGTAATTGCACCAGGAACCTTACCCTTCAAAACCACAACGTACTAATTCTCACATTACTGTTTGGCGTCTGAAATAAGTAAGGTTTTGTCCAGGGAAGTAGTGCCACCTTACCTATTTCTGCTGCCAAGCATGAATGTGAGCATTACTGCGTTCCGGTTCGGAAAGTTAAGGATCTGACTTTAAATCGCAAAGATTTTAATCTTGTCGATTTAAAGCTCTGGGTGGCACTGTAACTGTTATGGATAGGTGTGTTGCTTCCACCAGATGCACGTCTTGTTCGTCCCGTCACGTATTATAAAAAAATTGATAAAAAATTGGAAGCGGTCACTCGGTGTTTCAAAAATGACGTCAAATAGATACATGTTTATTGTCGTGTTTGCGGTAGACGAACAAGAGTGCCTCAAATTCAAAATTGTCCAGCATTTCATTTCTATTTCAATCAAGATATCAGTCCAAGATACTGGTACAAAAAATCAATAAGCACTATGTGTAATTTCAGTATAGCACAACAATACTGTTTCAATACAGTAAAATCTCTTTCTCATTCTTTCAATACCCCTAATTTGTTCAAATTATGTTTACGACGTGACGATGTTACAACTAAAATAATAATGTGTCAACCCTACGCTTCGGGACACGTTGATTTATTTGAAGAAACAAATATGTGCATTTATTTGAAAAATTACAATGAATTGACAAAATAAACCGATGAAATTTAATTGTTTTGTAAAATGTTTTTTAAGTTCTTTTTTACGCTAAAACCTGCCTGTCTCACAATGCTTCTCAAAAGAGAAACAAACTCACAAACACCTAACGTCAGCATAGTAAATAGTTATAGATAGTACAAGGTTAATATACATTTATATTGATTTCATTTACTTAATTATCTCCAAGAAAGAAACTAGTGTCCGAGATCGGTAAGTAGGTACTAATCAGTTCATACGTTGTCCGTGTTTAAAATAGGTAAATAATAATTTAATACGTAACTTTATATTTTGACAACCTTGAAACGAAGTTCGACTCTCGGTAGAATCAATTCGAAAGAATGTGCATAGGGATTTCTCTAGCTTATATTTTTGATAGACTACTTACAACTACAAGGTAGATTTTTTCAATGGTTTTGGTGTACAAGAGTACTTTACTAGTCCCAAAGTCACGGCTTACCAACCAAAATAAATAACATAGGACAACTGAATGAAGCATTCCCTGCACACAAATTAAAGAAATTTAAGTAAGTGTTATAGAATTAAGGTAGAATATTAAAATAATAATAATTTATAGAGCGGACGGTAAGATAATAGTACCTATTTTATGAGGGTTCTTTAAGTCGAGTACCATGTTTAAAACACAACTAATATTTAAAGATTATGAATTGATGTCAATCCACGACAACCTCAAAGAAATGCCAAAAACCTAAGAAAAGTAAAAACCAAAGAGATAGTGAAGCGTCCGTGATTGGCCAAGTACCTCACTTACTACTTTTGTGTTTAACTTTTACATAGAAAGAAAGAAATTGTTTGTTACCACAAATGACGCAAAACAAGAAAAACAAAACATAATCAAAACACTCAGACGTAAAACTAAATAAATAGGTTGACATATTATATAATAAAATAATTTGTATTTTAATAGTTTCACCGTTTATGGAGACTCTTTTAAATTAGTAAAAATACGACGTCCTTCGTTATAGTCCTGTGTACAGAACTTCAATGAATTTTTTCAGTTCTGTAGCGAGTAGGTATGTACGTACCATAGACAATAATAGAACTTTGGTTCAGAACTAAAAAGAGCGCCTTTGTGATATGGGTTATGAAATTATAATTGACAAATTAAAGTGGAAAATTACATTTTTAATTATAATTAAAATTTAAAAAAATTCTTAAGGTGCCTCTCCAACTATTGAAAAAAAATTTAATACTGAAAAAAAATAGTAAAAAAATACTTTTATTAAGATTATTTGATACACTCTGATAACCACAATTGGCCACGCCTGTATCATGGTTATCACGCAAGACGTTTATGGCAGCGGACGAGTATTAATACCTACATAAATTACAGCATCTCTTTTAGTACAAAGTCGTAAGATAATAATAAACTATAAAGAATTAATATACTACAATTAATAAAGTAAAAGTAATATGAAATGTTATAAGTGCAACAACTGACATGAGAATAAATATTTTATTAACATGTAATACGTAGGTGTGGGTGTATGTGTGTGTGTGTGTGTGTGCGTGCGTTTTCGAATTTTCATTGTTAGTTAAGCGTCTATATCACTTTTTAGATATCAGCATTGTTTCGGAGTCATTATAGGTCATGTTTAATCATTCTTGCTTTACTTTTCTTTTCACTTCGTACACCGACAGTTCCCTTGTGTCGTGTACATGGAAAAATTTATTATAAATAAGTGTAAGAATCTTAATTTCTTTAAACTTGTCTTTCAGAGACATATTTACAAATTGCCCTAACCACGCGTTTTTGCAGGACAAAGATTCTATTCATGTTCGCGGCATTACTTAAAAGCAGAACATAGTATGCCATTAAACTGTGATAGTAGCGTAAGTAAACTAGTCTATTTAGTGGTTTCTATGTCTGAAGGCTTACGTTTTTTTTAAATCGCATACACTGCAAAGCTAAGCCGTCTCGATAACTTACTTATGTATGGACCACATTGCAATATTTAGCATCTATAGTTACCTATAACCTACCTGGTGAAAATGAAAAAATTACGAGGCTAAGTCTTTAATATAAACTAAGAATAAAAATGGACTTAAAATTGCGCCTTCAGAGTCGCCTATAGCAATTACACATTTTGATGATCTCGTACCGTTGACATCTACCTTTTGTATCACTAAAATACGATTTAAGAAAGTCGAGGTCAAGGCCCGCCACACCGTAAAGGCGACACTTCTTGACTAGACCATCTTTGTGCATACAATCAAATGTCTTGTGGACAGGTCACACAACATACCAACAGCATCATGTGAGTCTTCTCGTGCATCAATATGTTTCAATAGCTCAACACCAGCATCGGTTGTATAGCGACCCCGAGTGAAACCAAATTGTTTAGGAGACAATAAGTAATAACTTAATTACTGTAAAAATGTACACACGTCTGATTTAGAATATTTTTCGAGTTCTTAGGTTTTCGCGATTGTTACACATAGGAAATGAAACTATTTTTCCGGATTTAAATCGCGTATATTTGTTTTTTCAAACAAACTGACGTTTCGGGCCCGTTTCAGGTCCCATGGTCACGGTTGACTTCTTTACAGGCCTGTGCCTAAAGGGCCCGAAACGTCGGTTTGTTTGAAAAAACAAATATACGCGATTTAAATCCGGAAAAATAGTTTCATTTCCTAGAATATTTTTTTCAAATATTTTATTGAGAGTTGGTAGTATTAGAACAGGTGTAAAATTGGTGAGGGTCTAAATTGCTACCAGATTTTAAAAGAGGAATAACTTTGTTTTGTTTCATGAGGTCAAGAAACACACCATCATCAACACATTTGTTAAATCACATACTCCGTAAGGTTCAAATACAATCGACGCACACTATAAATCCCAAAAAAAATATCAAAACTCATTTTAACCAACCCATATAATAATGTATGTTCATTATACTAAATCTAAGCAATTAGTTTTACGGGATCCCTCTTTACTCGCGAAGTAAAATTGCTTGTACCATACATTTCCATCGAGTACGTATGAAAAGTTAATTTTCTAATAGCAACATTTAAATTTTTAGCACCTTGACATATTTATGTATACAACTTTCAAATCGATACCCTCTTTGGCATTGTATTATTACTGCCACACAGACTATGTTATGGCACTTTTGAGAAATAATATAAAATATATCTCTTTACATACAGGTTTTTACTTTGTTTTCAGGTAAAAGATGCGGTTATTTGTTATAATTCTTTTAATTGCTCCGATACTCTCGGCCCCAAACAAATTCACCAAAGCTGTTTACTCCGGGAACCATGATATTATCAGAATTGTAGTACCTGTTAACAACATCAATGACCATAGCAAGGGCGAAGTTACTGTTGACAGAGGACTCACTTTTTTCTTTGTGGAAGCCGACATTTCAAACGGCAAAGATTATAAAGGACTCTATGTTTCCAATAACGGCACAGTCACCAAATTATTAGACGATGGCACTGATGTAACAACAACAAAAGACGAAACTGACCAAGCTTTCTTTGCAACTAAACGTGGTATATATGTCTATAACTACGAAAAGAATACAGCAGATAAATATGGCAATTTTGACGAAGAACTAATTGGTATTGCCAACGAGAAAGGAAATGATGCAATTTTTGTTCTTACGAAAGATAAAAAAGTCTTTAAAATTATTGATCATGGTAATAAGAAAATTAAGACAGACTATACAAATGTCGATCAAATAATGCTTGATTATTCAAACAATCTTTACTTTCTAATTGGGAAAGACCCTTACGTAGTAACAGCGAGTGGAGTTAAAAAAGTTCAAGGTTTACCTGCAAATCCAAATTACGTGGGACTCGCGAAACATATGGCAGCTCTGGACGAAGGAGTTCTTTTTGTATCGGATAATCGCATTTTTGGGATTAGCCCAAATTGTACTGCGCAAGAATTTACTGGACATGAATTCAAAGGCACGCCTACAGCGATTTCCGTGGAGGCACTGGTAATAAACTACTATGCTTATGATAAGAAAATCTATGAAAATAATGTTGCAGAAGCCATTCTCTCTGCCTTACTCTCTGGACTGAAATCCTTTTTTGATAAGTTGAGTTTCAACTCCTTCGTACGAAAATAAGTGAGTTCAAAGAGTACAGAAGACCCAATACTTCACTTATACAGAATGTAACAATGTAACAAAATTTTACAAATTTTCTTTAGACTGCGCATTTTTTTCATGAAATTTTCACTAAAGTTCTTACCACAGCAACACAAAGATTGATTAAACTCTTCTGCTCATTCGTGTAACAGATTCCCCTGAGAAGAATGAGCAAGAAATCCAAGGGGTTGATCGTTGTAAATAAACATTTGTACACATTTATCATTTACAATATTTATTTGAAATATCATAGATCGAGATAACCTCGCAGAGCTAAATGAGTCACTGTCACTGATGTTTCTCATTCATGTAAGCAGAAGCTGGACAATGACCATTAGTATGAAGTTTTTCTTTCACTATACGTTTAAACCTCGTGAATGGCAAATTTTCAAGTCAAGAACGGCCAGTTTATTTTTATTCCTCGCAGTACTATAAAGTCTGCCACCATTCTTCATAAAAGAAATACTATTCTTCTAAACATAAATAAATTTTTCATAAATGTATCGTGACCCTAGTGTGGTTAATTTCTTTAATTTTGTCTCTCAGAGACACACCGGGACCCAGATTATAAATTGCCGTAACACGTTTTTGCAGGACAAAGATTAAATTAATATTACTCCAAAACAAAATGCAGTATGCCCACAGACAAATATCTAGATAGACGCCGCAAGTGTACGTACTTCGCGTGCCCGAAGTAAGTGAAATGCACTTACTTGCCGCTGCTACACTTCAGAACGCGCTCGACCGTTTACGTAGATAAACACCAGTCGAAAACGCGAAAAATGCATAATTGTGCCATATAAACTGCAAAAGCACCATAATTGTGGGCAAACTAGTAAACAGGGACGTTTTTTACGACGATTTTGTAATCAGAACATGCATAATTTATTTTAAAATAGTTATTTTTGATACAAGTGCGGAAAGTTAATCATTATTCACGAGTCTCGAGGCATCTTGGCCCGAGCCAGAGGCGAGGGTCAAGACTCGAGACAAGTGAAAATGACAATTTCGCATGTGTATCAAACAACGTTTTTTAATACATTTGCGAAAAACCTACATTGAAAGTAAAATAAAACAGTATTTATGAAAAAGGCGGGAATGTAAACGATGAAAAAAATTAGTATTTTTTTTGGCCGACTTTTTTCTGTTGCCAGTATTCAGCCACATTAAAATTACTATTTTATTTTACTTTATTTTCTACATAATCGCTACTAAGGAGCATTTACTTCATAGGTGTAAAAATGCGGTCTCTCCATAGATATAGTATAGTAATGACGAATGACTTACGTCACAAAGCACATATGTAAATATGAAATAAATATACAATCTCTTTAGTTTTTTTTTTTTTTTTTTTTTTT